AGTTATAAGAGCTTCCAAATCACACACAGAAGAGAAAATCGCACAATCAGTAAAAAAGGGGGATAAAACTTTTTTTATATACATAAATGAGAAAAGAAAAGTAAAACAAGGATTAGTTAGATTAAAAACGAAGGAAGGTATGTAGAAGAGGATAAAGGTCTAGCTGACTGCCTCAATTAATATTTTTGTCCTGTATTTAAAGATGAAAATGAAGGAAAGGGACCTCAGTTGAGAAAAAGGATAAATGAGTAATTTATTACACGTGAGTTTACAGAGGAAGAGGTTCTATTTCAACTGTCAAAAGTAAAGACAAATAAGTCAATGGGACCTGATGGAATACACACAAAGCTATTAAAAGAGCTTAGTGGTGTACTAGCAAAACCATTAACAGATTTATTTAACCAATCATTGTTAACTTCCAATCTTCTGGGACTACTCCTGTTAACGAATGTTGTGCCCATTTACAAGAAAGGTAATAGGGAGGAGTCGGGCAACTATAGGCCAGTAAGCCTTACTTCAGTAGTGGGGAAAGTGATGGAAACCATGTTAAAGGATAGGATTGATGAACATCTAAAAACACATGGATTTCAAGATCAGAGACAACATGGGTTTACTTCAGGGAGATCATGCCAAACTAATCTTATTGATTTTTTTGATTGGGTAACTAAAATTATAGATCAGGGTGGTGCAGTAGACATTGCTTACCTAGATTTCAGTAAGGCTTTTGACACTGTTGCACATAGAAGGCTTATCAATAAACTGCAATCTTTAAGTTTGGATTCCAATATTGTTGAATGGGTAAGGCAGTGGCTGAGTGACAGGCAACAGAGGGTTGTAGTTAATGGAATATATTCGAAGCTTGGACTTGTCACCAGTGGGGTACCTCAGGGATCTGTACTTGGACCCATTCTCTTTAATATTTTTATTAGTGATATTGCAGAAGGTCTTGATGGTAAGGTATGTCTTTTTGCTGATGATACTAAGATATGTAACAGGGTTGATGTTCCAGGAGGGATAAACCAAATGACAAATGATTTAGGTAAACTAGAAAAATGGTCAGAATTGTGGCAACTGACATTTAATGTGGATAAGTGCAAGATAATGCATCTTGGACGTAAAAACCCAAGGGCAGAGTACAGAATATTTGATAGAGTCTAACCTCAACATATGAGGAAAGGGATTTAGGGGTGATTATTTCTGATGACTTAAAGGTAGGCAGACAATGTAATAAAGCAGCAGGAAATGCTAGCAGAATGCTTGGTTGTATAGGGAGAGGTATTAGCAGTAGAAAGAGGGAAGTGCTCATGCCATTGTACAGAACACTGGTGAGACCTCACTTGGAGTATTGTACACAGTACTGGAGACCGTATCTTCAGAAGGATATTGATACCTTAGAGAGGGTTCAGAGAAGGGCTACTAAACTGGTTCATGGATTGCGGGATAAAACTTACCAGGAAAGGTTAAAGGATCTTAACATGTATAGCTTGGAGGAAAGACGAGACAGGGGGGATATGATAGAAACATTTAAATACATAAAGGGAATCAACACAGTAAAGGAGGAGACTATATTTAAAAGAAGAAAAACTACCACAACGAGAGGACATAGTCTTAAATTAGAGGGACAAAGTTTTAAAAATAATATCAGTTAGTATTACTTTACTGAGACGGTAGTGGATGCATGGAATAGCCTTCCAGCTGAAGTGGTAGAGGTTAACACAGTAAAGGAGTTTAAGCATGCGTGGGATAGGCATAAGGCTATCCTAACTATAAGATAAGGCTAGGGACTAATGAAAGTATTTAGAAAATTGGGCAGACTAGATGGGCCGAATGGTTCTTATCTGCCGTCACATTCTATGTTTCTATGCACAAAGATTTGATTCAAAACATACACTAACCACCTATCTACACTTGTTTTTTTCCTGAGATGTCACCCTGTGCGGCTATACTTTCTCCTCGCACAGGGGAGAGGTTGGTGTATATGGGTCACCATGGTGACCGGACTTCACATGACGTCAACACGTAGTGTGGGTGGAGCATGCGTGCGGGTGCGCGCGCATACCCGGAAGTCCCTATGGCTCCGATGGGAGGTGGTAGTAACGCACCTGGGTGAGTTTTATTTTCATTATATGGGTATATATTGATTGTTGGTATGCATAATAATTGTCGTCTCGTTCTTTTTGACCCTGAAGAAAGTCCCGAGCCGGGACTGAAACATTGGTCGTTATTTTAAACTTTATTCAATAAATTTCTTATTTTTAAGACCGGAGAGCAGCCATTTCTATTTTGGAATTATATATATAAATAAATAAATATAAGAACTGGTTCTCTCCACCCCCCAACCCCCCCCAAAAAAATAAATATATACAATCGGTCAAGATGTCTAGGAGGGTCAAAAAGTTGATTCATTCTTTGATTCTGTGAATACAAATAATGGGTAATCTCTTATGTCCATTCATTTTAGCCAAATAACTAACCTTATAACACCCTCTCCAACCCAACATTCCCCTTGAAATAAATAACACAGACATCATGTTGGAAGGTAAAGCCATCGCTGGCTTCATTTATTGAATACATCACTGGCATCATGGCAGAAAAACCATTCAAACAGAACGGCCATAAAATATAACTAGTAACCAAACTGAGCTAGGGTGGTGGCGCTGAGGCCTAGACTCCTCAGCCCACAAGAGGATGCGGCTCAACCTAATCCTGCAGCGGAGCACCCATTGCACCTGCCCAAGCAGAGGCATAAGGACAGCAAGGGGGAATCTTCAGCACGGCCACCTTGAACGCATTCTGCAGGCGGGGGCCCAAGCTGGGCCAATGCCCAAGAGGGCGTAAAGCCCGGCCTCTTTGCCGCCATCATTCCACCATCTCTCTCTCTGCACCACTCCCTAAAGCTGCACCCTCATGCGGAAGAGGGAACAGAAGCCTCCAGCCCAGGAGGGCCAAGGAACCTTATGGCCATCAGAACTGAAGGTATCCGAGCGGAGAGACTAAATTTAGCAGCAAGGGACTCAAAAGACTAGTTCGACTAAACAGGCCCAGGCACATCGCTACATTAAATCCGCCCTGGAGGGAGAACTAATTCAGCACCGCTCCCCGAATAACAAAGACACAAATAACAAAGGGGAGGGAGAACTTCAGGAGCCAGCAGAAATCACAAGGCAGAACAGGAAACGGAGGAGCCTCTTAAAAGGTAAGGGGAGGCCTACCCCACCATGCTGCAACATTTCCTGCTTAAACTCCAGTTCCAGTAGACCCATTAATTACGTTTCCGGCCCACTAGGGGGCCCCTATACTCCCAGTTTCTTTCTTTTTTTGTTGTTGCTGTAAATCCAGAGACTGCACCTTTATTTACCTTGTGTGTGCATATTTTATAGGCCTGTGTGTATGTGTGTATTATATATACACACACACATATATATACACACACACACACACACACACACAGAGGCCTCCCCTTCCTCTGGGCCGATACTTCCTGGTTCATTACAGATCAATCTAGTTCCGGGTCAAAGGTCATCAACACAAACTACCTAAACTCTAAACAAGCTGGTCTTGGCCTTGTGTGGCCTACGAAAGTATTCATTTGACCTCACTCTAGTAAAAAAACAGGCGCCTCCTTCAAAGCTCATGTGGTACTGCCGAGTCCTGCTGGCTGCGACTTCTCCTTGTTTACGTTTTTTACAACAGAACCATAGGTTTGTTTGTTCAGCCCGCATTGTGCTGCGCTATCACTGACATTCAAATGTATTTGGCCCACATTCATCTTTTCACTAACTAGGGTGGCATTCGCAGTTCAGTATGTATTCACACATAGCATCACCTCAATTTGGTGATACCTCAATTTGGTTCATGTATTCGCTTTACTGTATTCGGCCCTCATTCAGCCATATTGTATTTTATCATATACAATTCAGTTAGTCACCCTACATTTTAATGTATAGTAAATGGTGTGCCATGTTTAGTTTTTCATATTTGATTATTATTGTCAGCGCACACAGCCTTGGTAATACAATTGTAAGACGATATATACATAAAGGAATTACCAATAAGATGAGTGAAAAACCAAGTGGACTCCCAACACCTTTAGACTAATTCCGACGCGGAAGTGACAGAAAGCTGCATGACGTACTGCGGGAAACAAAGGTGGTTGCGAAGTTACCACACACCAAGTGAGATCGAAGTAAGAAGTATGAAAAAGCCTCAAAACTAGGCATACAAGTAAAAAGGAAAACCTGCACCACGGTGCATTGATGGAGAAATAGGTAAAAAAAAAAAAATTACTTGTATAGATATGAGCAACACAGGCAAACAAATACTAATAAGTCCAACAGAGAAAATATAAGTGCCAGCAAAGTGTCAATGAAAAACAAAAATATGTGAAAACAATGTGAATGCTGAAATAAGTGAAAAAAATGCAATAAAATATGAAAGGTGTATCCAACTGTTGGAAATATGAACGCTATATGTAAACAAATATATATAATATAAACATAATATAACAGCCCATGCCATCATAATGTCAGGCAAATAATCTTTAAAGGAGCTTTAATGGAGCAACAAGACAAAATATGTACATACTTCATACAAAAAAAATACTTAATATACCATATTATCACTATATATAGGAGTATATCTATATAACATAAAGCAAAAGTAATAATATACAAAAATAAAGGATGTACAAATATATAGAAAAATTATATAGAATAATATATAGAGAAAAAAATATAATGATAAAGAATTAACATACTGCGCCTAAATACCAAAGCCTGTAATATATAGAAAAAAGACATGAAATACAATATGCATATAGCACTGTATGAAGAAAAAAAAAAAAAAAAATCAACATTAACCTAATGATATAGGAATTTCTATTACAGTAACATGGACAAAACTATATTTTCATTAAGTCCTTTAGGGGCCACAGTGTCCAATCTATATATCCAAGATGCCTCACGCTGTAAGAGAGCTCCACGGGAAAGAGGAGGGACATGGTCAATTGCTATGAAACATAATGCAGGCAGGCGATGTTGGGCTGCCAAAAAATGTTTAGCCACTGGTTTGTCAGTCCTTTGATCCAGAAAGGCTGTCATAATTCCAGACCGGTGTCCTCCTATTCGATCTCGAAGGATCAGATCTGTTTTCCCTACATAAGACAGTCCACAGGGACAGGTAATCATATAAATCACATAATCAGTAGCACATGTGCTATAGTGTGATATCGGGATACGTTTCTCACTGTGGGGGTGACAAAATGTAGAACCACTGATTATGTGACTGCATGTAACAAAGCCGGAGCATTTTAAACACCCTTTCTTCTTGATTATAGGGATTTTTTTGTAACATTGTATAAAATCAATTTTCACAAGTAGATCTCGAAGAATTTCTTTCCTCTTATAGCTCACGGTTGGTGTTTCACGAAATATAGAAGGGAGATTAGTATCAGACTGTAAAATGTCCCAGTGCTTCTTTATGGAATATCGAATTCTTAATGTACCAGTATGGAACGTTAAAGGTACGAACATTTTCTTCTGAAGTGGTTTCTTGTGAGAGATATTGTTAATTTCTTCAAAAAAAAAACATTCAAAGGCTGTATTTTTGGCCTTATCCAGAATTCGTGGGTGATATCCACGTACAAGAAATCTGTTCTACATATATTGTAACAGTTCATCTCTAGATTTGGATTCACTGTTATATCTGTGTACTCGCATAAATTGAGAAATGGGAAGAGCATCTTTGAGATATTGAGGATGAAAACTGGTCGCCAAGAACAAGGTTTTTTTGGTCTGTCTGCCTCCCTCCTATATAAAGTATATCCTAATTCCATTTTATCTTTATGTTTGTACACTTGTACATCCAGAAACTGTATGGAAAAGGTATCTGTAGCGGAGAGGTAGTATAATCCACAGGGTCTCCGCTGGTAGACAGGTACAGCATACAATAATCCAGGTAGCGTAATAATAATCCCTTCTTCCCAAGAACTAGATGACACATAGGCTGGGAGTCAACTGAGCTTTTATTCACAGGTCACAGTATTTATGCAGTTCCCCATGCAAGGGGTTTCTGGAGTGACTTTGCAGGGGTTGTACAGTAGGGGATTACATGGGGATACTCCCATAAAAATATACTGTTAAGTGGATTATCCCTCTGTACAGCAGAACCTGTCTTTTCACATAAAAGGGGCACCCTCAGGGCACTATAGTGCCAGGAAAAAGAGTATGTTTTCCTGGCACTATAGTGGTCCTTTAAAGCTTTCCTGGTCAAAAGAAAAATAGTAAGAGATAATACAAACAAATGTTTTAAATATTTTAGCATATAAAATAATGGTTTATTGAAAGATTTTTAAAATTTTGCAGGGTAGCTAATTTATGGTAGTGTTTGCAATGGTTTACTTTACAGTCTAATGGACTGGCAGTGGCATATATCTGCAGAAAAAGAGTGATGCAGCCCCCATCTGCAATAGATTGTAGCAAACCCCTTGTCACTGGACCTATTGTCCCCTGTAATGGTCATAAGATCGGGACTCTAAATAATAAGGGGTATGAACCTATTGTCCCCTTCTGCCCCCACCCATTGACGGCAGGTGGAGGAAGATACTAGGTCCTATTTAAGTTAATAGCCCCACTCACGGGGCACAGGAACACACTATGTCTCCCCGTTCATTTTAATAGCCCCCACTCGTGGCCCTAGGTGGGGGCCTCACAGTCTACTTTAATGACCCCACTAGCGAGGCAGAGGGAGACACTATGTCCTTTCCAGTTCATTACTTTAGTAAGTTCTTCACGGTGGGGGCATGGGTGACCTCTATCCTCAGTCCCCCTTTATTGGGTTAGCGACTGAGCAGCTATACATCAAGTAGCAACTGGCTGCTTTCTGTTTATTAGACATGCACGCACTACAGCGTGTAGGGGCAGGAGGGAGGCTTTAACCACCTTACGAATACCAATATGAGGGTCATATTTATCCCCATTCAGTAAGGGGGATTGAGGAAGCACCGTTTTGATTTTTAAATAAAGGTAGCTCCCTCAGGACGAAATTCCATCCATCAAGCAATTTGTTCTTCATTTCATTTATTGTAATTTGTATTTGTTCATTCGTCTTTCAGATAAATGGACAAATAGTCAAAATTCATAAGTCTAATCAGCACCCCCAAACTTTAATGTCAATGTATAAGCGGAAAGATCACATCCCTTGTATGTACCCATAGGCATTACTAGGGGGGCTTTGGGGGCCAAAACCCCACCTATGGGATTCTTCAGCCCTGCATCTTTACAGGTAGTTGAGGGAGCAGGATTATATTGTTTTAATCTTTACTCAAAGCAGCTTCCGGATATAAAAAAGGCTAGGCTACTAATACAGTTACCACTGTACCTAAAATACATCTGCAACTGTTGCAAGTCATGATTTCACATACATTTCCCCCCCCCCCCCAAAAAAACCCAACAACTAAAAAATAAATAGCACATACATAATATTCAAGAATTGCATGAATATTTGTTTTTCCATATCTTTGATAATCCTTAGTAATGCTGAGCAAATTACTTCCATCAGTCTTCTGATAAGGCTGAGTCAAACATGCTTTGGTTAGACGTTGCCTTGTGATCTTGTATGGTCACATTCACTCCCCTTTAAATTAAACATCTTATTCTTGAACTGTATAATTGTGACTTGTCAGTTGGTGTGTACTCTTGCTAATGATGGTTTCAGACTTGTTTCATAAAACTTGTTTTACCTGATCTTATAGAGAAACAAACAAGTTTATGACGTTAAAGTAATGATTATTTATATTTTGAGCAAGGTAATATTTCACACTATCATAATGAATAGACTAGACGTGTATAACATGCGGTCGGCCAAAGGATTTCAGGAAGCCCGTGAAGAACTACTAGGGGTGCAGCCACTGTGCTGCACCAGGGCATGTGTAATTAGGAGTCCTATTGGGTGGTCCATGCACTTAGGGCCACCAGGAGGAGGCAGTAATGGAGACCAGGGCGGGAGAGACTGGAGCAGCACAGAGGGAGCAAAGAGAAGGCAGGAGAGGAGATTTCAGAATCTGTACACTAGCAAGATCTGGTTCCACTGCCACCACAAGAACGAGAGGTACATAATCACCGTTTGCTGTTGAACTTGCTACAACCTCTACCTCCAAAAATATCTTGCAGAGCCCTGGGTATGGAGGTAAGAGAGATATGATCCTGACAGTCTCACATTAATCAGGAAGAAGTTTTCATTTGGACCTCTTGAGGCCACCTAATCTTTTCCCAACAGGTCAACAGCTGCTTCTACCCTACAGCCTAGTCTTGGTCTCTGCATAAGAAATTCTTACAGCCTAGCATCTGTCAAATGCATCTTAAGGAAGGTTTCTTAAGGGGGCAGGGGGGATAAAGACAAACTTGCAACTTGGAGAAAGAATCTTATCATTTATGCTCTAGCACAAGAGTTAGAGGCACAGAACTGCAGGATGACCTTTCTCAAGACAATGTTGACAATTTACATTTCAGCGTACTAGTTTATTTTAAGACTTTAGGATAATTACAGTCATGCAAGGTTGCCTTCTTAATAAATGTCTGCTTGTAGCAATCATTACTGTAAGAATGGCCTTCAGCAAGGCCTAACTGCAAAGCCTGATTTTTAGCCTAGAACTAGATAATGGGCACTAGTATGCATCTTCTCCAAACCTACATATACACCCCCCCTCCCCAACATTTTTTCACTGTCAAGAGTTATTGCCAGGTCAACCAAGTGCTTTCCAGGCTTGTATGAACTCCCAAGATCTTATAGTCTCATCACAAGATAGATATTTGAGATTACCTGCATTCCATCACCATTTGGATTATATAGGCCATACAAACAGCCTACATAACAACAGTTCTAGAATCATCTCATGTAACAATACATTATACAGTGGCATTTAAAAAAATATAAACACAAACATACTCCTAACATATGTGTATCTTTATGCCCTCTTCCATGAGTTAGCTCCATTAGATCACTCACATCAGTTGTTATTAACCACTCCCTTCTCAGAGTTTTGGTATATCTGTCAAGACTTCAAAATATGTAGTTCACACAAAATTACCCTACCCTTGATGGTAAAATCTAAAATAATGAAAACAAGAGACTAAGATTTGCTTGTCCTTTAGAGTCACCTCCCAGCAGCAAATGTTAATAACCAGAGTAGGAAGAAAAATAGATATTTAAAAAAAAAAAATGAAGGGATACATAAAATCCTTAGAGGACCCCTCCCACGTTGTCTTTTTGGTGTGGATGATACTAGGAGTCCAAAATAAATAAATTTAAAAAAGCCATCCGGATAGAAGAAATCAATGAACCAGCAAACACAGATACAGCCAACTGGCAAGAAGGTAGAAAGTCTTCAAACAGTCGAAGAGATTAGACAATAAGCAAACAATTAGCCGGATAAATACATAAAAAAAAATAAAAAAAAATCAAGGCAAAACCATGTAAAAATTAACAAGAAGGACATCATTGGAACAGGGGAGAAAAAAAACAAACAAAAAGAAAAAACACATAATAGAAGAAAAACAAAAGGATGACCATACAACCAAGGTAAAAGAAGGAGGGAAGATATTTGCTTCCTGTCTAATTAAAAAAACAAAACAAAAAAAAAAAACTCCGTTTAGATTATATGCAGTCCCCAAGAGGAGGATTATCCTCAATTTTAACATAAGACAGGAGGCTTCACATTTGCAGCTGTAAGGCTTTGACAATTGGGCAAAATAGAGTTTGCAAGCGAAAATGAAAAGTGCAAATGTACATTCCCGTGACCAATTTATCATAAGATCAATAAGAGTACCACCTGCCTCAAAAAATGATGGCCACCAAAAAAATGGTCAACCTCAGCAACAGACCCAAGGACCACAGTGGAAGTTCAGGTTTGACATGAGAAATTAGGAGAAGAAGAAAGAGGAATCAAGATAATTGAAGACAATGGACAACTGTTTTGAAACAAGGATAAAAATGAAGTATAGAAGATCAAGGTGGAAAGGGACTTCGTACGCTGATGAGTAGAACAGCTAACACTTTCGAATGTGCGGAGGAGGGGTGATAAAATTTCAGTATTAACAGTATGAATATCAGACATTCATCAAAAGGAAACAAGGCATAGGAGGAGAGCCACCTTAATTGAAAGATGGCAAAGTGATAGATTAGCATTATCAAGAACGATTTGGAGAAAATCTAGAATTAAGGAAATGTTGCAAAAAAAAAAAATGGCTATATTTGGATGTAGCAGGGCTATCCAAACCTATCCCTCGGAGAAGAGGACACACATGCAGATTCTTGCCCACACCGAGACCTTGAAAGGGTAAACTAGTCAGCAGAAGACCCTAAGCAGAATAAAAAGACGATGGGGAAGGAGAAGAGCATCTGCCGTTGACACTTCCAACAGACCTTGAAACCGAAGTTGTATTCGTCAGAGTGTAGTGATCAGGAATATGGTGGCCTTTTGTCATCTCGGGTGATTAAGGACTTGAGTAATCATGGCAAAATATGGAAAGGCGGTGTAGGAGAGTATCTCTGCTGGCGTCCCTCCTTTGTACCACAGAATACCCAGAGTGATTATAGCAGGTCAGCCTAACATCAGTCAAGACCTGTTGAAGGGTGAAACTGTGTTTAATCTATTTTAAAAACACCCATTTAGGTGGTACAAAACGTGTACACCCTCAGAGGTTGATTACCAATACTTAAAGAATGATCCCTCACTGGCACCTTCAAGTCCAAGGCTGATAACCATCTCCCACCCAGAGAGTCCCTCTTTGCTAAAGCACCAGGAGAACAGGGCATCTGATCCACCACCCCAAATATGTCACCATAAACCATGGTATCCAATGATGGCCCACCCCCTAAGGCCAAACTGTTGGCGTGAGGGAGCTTTTTGGGTCTGTGCCTTGTGAAGAGGAGAGGGAAAACCAGTGGGGAGAAAATGCCTTTTCATAGTCACAGAACTGCTATTCTGTCAGCCGCAAAGGAAATTTAGCAGCAAGTTACAAAGTGACAAGCAATGGCCAGCAGTATAAAAAGGATTGACTCGCATGGACAAGTAAAAAGGAAGGGAAAACATTGGAGCTTACCAGTGAATAAATGAAATGTGTTGTAGAATGGCACATTCCAAAGGTGCATGAATTGCAATTAGTCTGGACCACAAGAAAGACGCAGGAGGAAAAAAAAAAAGTGCATCAGAAGAGGTGCAAAGAAATGGTACAACTGTCAAGATGGTTGTTGTTACTATTCAGGAACTCAAGCAAGAGTTCGGGAACAGTGGAAAGGGAAAGAATGAGGCGTGGAGAACAGAGACCAGGGCACCCAGCCTTAGGGGAAAGGAGTATGAAAAATTGCTACTGACCTCAGAGGAACAGACACTTGTGTCCCTCTCCCAGGGAGTGATACAATGGGGGGGAGTGGGGAAAGAGAGACAAAATGGCAAAGCAGCAAGTATGGATGAAATCATGAAAAGCAGAATACCCTGCACTAGAGAGAAGAGTGTAAAAAGCCTCAAAAGACAAACCAAACCTAGGCTGAAGCCACCAAGTTGAAATAGACTCACCTGGGAGGCAACAAAGAAATACGAGGTGAGATGGGGTTTTCTAAGAGTTTTGTATTGCTCCCTCCCTTTTGCAGATTCTTTTTTAGATTTTGTTATTAACTTAGTTTGCTGCTGGGAGAGAATTAATGAAGGACAAGTGAAAATTAAGCCGCCTTTCTTGTGTTAAAATGACTGTTCATCCCTCTGTAGACCACCACCTTATTTTACATTTTATTTATTTAATAAATACCAGAGTGTTGCTATGCGAGTGAGGTAAACCAGCACAATTTCCTACCAAATTCCTAGGTTATGCTTTAGGATAGTGGAGACTGAGGAAATATGGATAAGAAATAAAATATACCTTTAAAACTTTGTAATGCTGCCAGGAATTTGAAGTCATTATATACACAAATGTTATGTCAGAACTCTGTTTCTATTTCATGGTGTTAAAGTGTTTTTTTGTACCTTGCCTAGTTTATAATTGATTTCAGGTGGGCATTTTTTTTCTATACTTTAAAATGTATAGAAACTAGTGATGTCGTGAACTGTTCGCCACAAACTCCAGTCAGCTGACACATTCCAGCCAATCAGCAGCAGACCCTCCCTCCCAGACCATCCCACCTCCTGGACAGCATCCATTTTGAAGCTGCATTCTTAGTGAGCTGTCCAGGAGGTGGGAGGGTCTGAGAGGAAGGGTCTGCTGCTGATTGGCTGGAATGTGTCAGCTGACTGGAGTCCGCGCAACCGTTCGGGACATCACTAATAGAAACCTTTACTATATTAACTGCAAGAAGGCAAGTTGCAAGCATGAGCAGCGAATAAGATTTCTCCTCCTATTGTTTTATATAAATCAGGGCCTAAACTTCCACGACTTCCAACTGCTAGCTTCGAGAGGTCTTTGAACACTCTTCAGGTTACCAGGAGTGAATTGTACTCACCAATGGATAGTGTAAACTGTGAGCCCCGATATTATAGATACTGTAATATTATAGAATCACTGGTTACACATAAGACATCATGGACAATTTAAGAATGCATTTGATAGCACAGTATCTTTCCTTGCTTGCAGAATTTTGTAGCTTTGTGCTCTCCCATATGTAATGCAAGGGGCCAAAAGACAAATGGTACAGATTATACCGGTACGACTCATCTAACCAACTTGTTTGAGAAACTCTGAGATGTTTGCACAATTATAAGCTTTAGTCATTAGTTTAAGCAGTGGCTTTATATTCTTCAATCATAACTCGTAAACTCTAAATAAGAGTACGGTAGTACCAACACACAGGCATAAAAAATATCAGACATGAGGCTGGTGGATTTAAAGGACAAAACAATTGTGTTTTTTTCTATTGGGCATTGCCAAAGCATGCTCCTCTCAGTTAACCTGTATTAATTGTTCCTAATTTGCAATAGTGACTTAACGTGACAGGGTGGTTCATTTAAGAGTTGAATGATCATGTAATGTAAATATATGAATTCAAGGCATACAGTAAAGTAACAAAATATATAATTTTTTACATAAGCTTTTTTTCTTTCCATAAACTGAATGATGTACTGCACCACTCCACATAATTCTTTAAACCGAAATCCAATTAGACTTAAATGAGTATTAATTCATCTAGAACCTCTTCCACTGTGAAAAATACCAGTCGTCTGTGTTGACAGGGAAAGATAAATAATCGCATGGTTTAGAGGGTCCATGAATGTGAGGGGCACAGTCCATATGCCGCGGGTTTAATAACTAGAGAGACGAGAGAGAGAGAGAAAGGGCATATTCACACTTGCAGAAATTTCTTTATACAAAAAAAAAAACACGACACAAGGAAACGGGAAAGGAAAGAAATTTCCCAAAATATCACTTTTTCTAAATCAAGCAAACATTTGGGCTGAAGTTTTATCTTTCCACAGTTATTTGAGACAAACATCCCCCCTCGGGCTCAATAATCTTATTTTATTCCTGCCAATATTACTAGTTCCTAGAAAACTAGGAATGTTCTTCCAGCAACTGGATAGCTTACAAACCACGTTGGATAAGAAGTTTAATAATGCAAGTCAAAGAAATTGAAGTCTGGTAAACATATAAACTAACTTTATGCTTATTGTATATAATCAACTTGTACCTGTAGATTAATTAGATCAGGCTTCAGAGTCTGTAATGGTTCTTTGCCTCCAAACCACGATTCTAGTAGTTTTTCTGTGGAATTACTCCATTCTTTTCTAGAGGGTAGGTAAACAAGGTCATAACCCATCTTTTGTAACACACAACTTTAGCCAAACTTCAGGAAGGGAAATAAAAATGGTCCAGTAATCACACTGGCAGCATTGTTTGGGATATCTTGGAGAAATACATATAAATATGAAAGGAACACTATATGGTCAAAAACACAAACATGTATTCCTGACCCTAAAGTGTTTAAAACATCTAGCCCTCAGATCCTTCCCTTGCCACACTAAATATATTAAAATCTTACCTTCATTCCAGTCTGCTGGTGCTGGCTATGCCCCTTGGCTGAAATCAGAATTGTTGATCAGACCAACCACAATGCTTCCCCATAGAAAAGCATTGGAATGGCTGTGACTGTTAAGGAGGCAGATCAGGGGAAGAGCCAGCACAAGTCAAACAGTCCTGGCCAATCAGCTTCTCATAGAGATGCATTGAATCAATGCATCTATGAGTAAAGTTCAGTGTCTCCATTCAGAGTTGTTCTGGTGACTATAGTGTTCCTTTAATACATAATGTACATATTTCTGCAGTGTATCTTAAGTATTAGAACCATACAAGGCTGGGCACCTCCTGATGAAGCACCATTTCAGCATCAGTCAAGAAATCCATATTGATGACAACCTTTTAAATAAATGAAATTTAAATCTTGGCTCAAATCTGTAAATGGAAAATATCTATGATGCTTTACTAGTAGTTTGTGATTGCAATTTTTTATTGAATTTTTAAACAGGTGTAAAAATATTCAACTTTTTCTAGAGAACGCACGAGGAGTTCTTTATAAAAGATCATATAACATCACTGATCCACATCAATACGTGACTATTAGTTTGTAAATAGACTTGAATATTGACGAAAGGCTGCTGTCATGATATAAATGAGTTTAACCAACCATCCTACAATTCTGGCAGCATGATGTTAATCAGTGTGCCGGCCCCTGTCCTCTATCCCCCTACCTTCTCCCCCAAAGGAACGATCTCCCTTGGTTCAGTGCCTTCCCTTCTACAGAATGCAATTAACAAATGCTCCCGTTCCCTGGCAGGCATTTGCACTCAAACTACTGAAAGGTTACCAGCAGCAAATCGCCGCAAACCTTCTGAAACCACAAAATCGGTCACTTGGTATAGCGGTGGCTGGTCACTTTGGCTCACGGTTTTGCCCCACTTCCTGACCTGCCAGGAGAGCACTATTTGGAGGGAAGGTACTACAGACTAAATGGAACAGTAGTTCCCAGAGAACCAGGGGGAGCCACCATTAGTTGGACCACAGGAGGCCCCAACATTTCACTGGCAAAAGCCCCATTCGTGGAACTATTTTGGGCTTAAACCTAGTGTGCGGTCAGAACTTTACCCCAAGGCAACTGGGCATATCTTAATGCATCCAGGCGCTTTTTTGCCAACATGGGCTCTTGAACCAGAGCTATCTGGGGATGTATGATATGTGAGGTTCCTGTGTGCTTTTCCTGCATTTTGGGGTGTTATTTATGTTAGGCACTTTGTATCCAGGAAATAATTAGTGTAGCCGGCAGCAACTCCATTATCTCCCAGACACAGAGGCGCCTGGGTAGGCACCGCATGTCCTGAATGGAGACCTCATGCTAGGAGTCTGTGCATAAAAGGCTGTCTTCAACTCAAAAACAGTTGTACTCCCAGAACCATGTGTCGTTTAGTCACGGTGGTAAGTTATAATCACTGACCAGCACTTTTAGCTACGAGGAGAAATCAGCGGAGATACCCAGTTGCGGTATTGGAGCTCCGCCATTTAATTTATTACTGGTATTTAGAAAGCGCCAACATATTCTGCAGCCCTGTACAATTAGGGGAGAATGTACAATATACACAGAAATACAAAAAGGTAGAGAGGGTCCTGCTTAATAAGCTGAGATCTAGACATTAAACCTCTTATACAAAGTGCTTAGCTAGATAGCCTGTGAGCTTACAATCTAAAGCAGGGGTAGGCAACCTTTTGGTAGTACCGTGCCAAAACAAGCTCTTGAAGTCCGTCATGCCGGTACATTTTTATTTAAAAAGGAGGTGTGCATGTTGCCGTATTGTTCTTGTGTTACTTATGGATGCTGAAGTTGCTTTGAAACATATTTGTGCATATGTGGGCTGTTATGTTGTATATGTTCATAAAGAGTTTACGGTTTTGTGTATGATACTTATTGAATGTGTGGGGGCTGCTTGTGGGGTTGTGTGTGCGTGTATCTGGATTGTCAGTGGTGTTGTGTTTGTGGGGACTGTGTGAGTTTGTGTGTGTGAGCAGTCTATTATCTGCATGAAAAAGGGCTTCTTGTACAGCTCTGTATATCTAGCAGTGTGGATGGCTTCCATGAGATCTAGATTGCGACCAAGCTGACCAGGTACAGGTCAAGGGTAGGAGCTGCGGAAGGTGCTGCAGGCTGCTCTACTCCAGTGTGGATTCCCATTCACAAGTACTGAGAGGAAGTAATCACTACCTCCATGTGCTGCAATGCGTAAATTGAGGGTTGTCCTTCACAACTTGGGTTTCAGTAGCAAATATCTGACGTCCCAATGGGACTCCTGGTAGAACAGAGCCTGTTTGGCTCTGGCAGTCTTGAGTGCCGTGCAAAGGCACCTCGAGTGCCATAGGTTGCTGACCCCTGATCTAGAGGATAGAATGGAGATTTGAGACAAGGGGTAGCGGGGGTGAATTTGGAAGTGATGGCTAGAAGTTCAGAGTTGCAGTATATTGGTAAAATATAAAGGGAATGAGGAGGTAATTGAGGGAGGAGCATGCTATATATTTGAGAGAAACCTGGGTGGACAGGAAGAGGGGAGGGGAGGGGTGGGGAGGGTTGTGTTGAGAAAAAAATTGAGATTTCAGAATTGCTGGTTCTGGGAGTGTGAAGTGAGACCTAAAGAACAAAGATGGAGATGGAACAGTTATATGAAGGTATTTACAGCCAGGAGGAGCAAATGAAGGAGAGGGAGGGGGAGAGGGTAGAATAAACATTGGTTTTAGATAATTGAAAAGTTTACTAACAAAATTCTATCATTTAAAATAATAACTGTACATGAAATATTAGTTGAATACAATACACCCTACTCCAAAAGGGTGCGTGACTTGGTTGTGGTCGTGAAAGGCTTAAAGTTCAGTATTTGTCTGCACTAGACCGGAAATGATAAAAATCCCCCTTACCACCACCCACACTTAATTAGAATATAAATATTACTATTTTAATGCTACACTTAGAATATATGGGCATTTAATACACAGAAGATGGATATCCTCAGTAAACTTGCTTTGGCCTTTAATTCTTTTGGATCCGCTTTTTAGACACAAAAAAAACCAAACAAACTTCAGATTATTTATCTACAGTGGTCATCAAAATCTGAGAATTTTGTAGTTATGTCAATTTAAAACAGATTGTGATAGTCTGAAAAGCTTATCCAAAAAAAAAAAAAAAAAAGCCTTAGTTTCCTATGAGGTCACTTATAAAAGGATTGATCGAGCACATCGGACAAATGTCCTTTTTTGGCCTTATAGTAAACAGTCTTTCATTCTTTTGGATAAACCTTTCAAAATGATCACAATCCATTAGAAAAACTTTTCAAATGATTTCTTTACAAAATGGCACAGACTTTAGTGGCTACTACTGTAGATAAATAATTTTGAAACTTTTCCCAACAAATTGTGATCATTTGAAATGCTTATACAAAATTTAAATAAAATAAATAAATCTCAGCTTTAGACTCATTTAAGGCCAAAAAAGGACAAAACCAACATTGACTGGGTAAATGGGACTTTGCTGTACCTTTTAAATTATTGAAAGGAAAAAAAGAAATAAAAAAAAATTGCATTAACCGGTCACGGTCATCAAGAAATTCTCAGAGTATTGATACCAGTTAATGCCATCTGAACACATCACTAATACTGCTGTAGACATAAACGATAAATAAAGTCAAACCATAGAACCCCACAAATCCTTTAAACAGAAAGCTTGCCAGACACTGCAGATGATACTTACTCAAATGAGAGTTCTAACGGTGGATCCCATGCATGAAGTGCACGCCTCCAGAGTTTGATTTGCATATCCCATGAGCGCCGGCTGTATTTCTTGTACTTGTTTGGGCTGCGAGGGTGAATTCCTGGCTTTCTCTGCTCCCTGTATAGTGAGCAATATACACATGCTTCCTGAAAATGCTTCACATCCTTTAATAAGAAGCGTCGCTATTACTTACACAGAAGGCCATCTGTTATTGAGACACGTTATTGGAAATCAACTGGTATTGCTGTTGCCTGGCCTCTGCATTGGGAATGTGCTCTATTTCCATTTATATTTAACCCTGGCACTCCTGCAGTAGTGAATTAGAGCTTTTGCAGGTTTTGTTTTTAACCTGCTCTCAATCCATTACTAGAGTCCAAGCCAAACCATCCAGATCAGAGCACTGGCTTTGAGGAGGCAGCTAAGACTGGCACACTGGAGGAGCAACTTTTGGAATAAACCGTTCATAAAAAAAGTTTAACCACGAAAAGCAAGACTGTGCCCATGGACTACAGCCCCCCTGCCCCCATAAAGACTCCATTAATATAAACTTGTTATGGGGGTGGAGTGGCCCTTTAATCTATTGTCCCTCTGCTTCCCTTTGTTCTTATTCTCTAAAATTCTAAAAATAAAATACCTGTATAGGGAATACTTATGAGTGGCAATAGGAGGAACTTTAACAAAGTTCAGTTGCTAAGATAATTTACCCTCAATCCATCAGTCAAAATAATCCCTCAGAAGGGCAAACTGCAGACATCATGGACAGGGGAGAAAATTGAGGCGTCCAGATCTTGACATCAGATCAGCCACAACATTAAAACCACTGACAGGTGAAGTGAATAACAGATTATATCGTTACAATGGCACCTGTCAATGGGTAAGATATATTAGGCAGCAAGTGAACAGTCAGTTCTGGAATTTCATGTGTTAGAAGCAGGAAAAATGGGCAAGCGAAAGATCTGAGTGATTTTGACAAGTGTCAAATAGTCAAATTGTGACAACTGGATCAGAGCATTTTCAAAATTACAATTCTTGTGGGATGTTACTGGTATGCAGTGGTTAGTACCTACCAAAAGTGGTCCAAGGAAGGACAAATGGAACCAGTGTCAAGATCATGCCAAGGCTCACTGATGCATGTGGGAATCAAATCTGCTTGCCTTTGCTTCCCACATTCATTAAGCTGATCACAGAGAATAGCAACCTGTAGCGCAACTTGCGTAGAAATTTAAATAAGCACTATAGGGTCAGGAAAACAAAAATGTATTCCTGACCCTGTAGTATTAAAACTACCGTTAACAACACCACCCCCCAAAACATAGTAAAATCTTACTTGTATTCAAGTTTAAAGCTGCTGCCTCTGCCTGTGAATTGCCTCTGTCTGCTGACATAAGTAGTGGTGGCCTGAGCCAATCACAATGTTTCCCCATAGGATTGGCTGAGACTGACAATGAGGCAGATCAGGGGCAGAGCCAGCAACAGTCAACCAGCCCTTGCCAATCAACATCTCCTCAGAGATTAATTGCATTAATGCAACTCTGAGGAAAGTACAGTGTCTGCATGCACAGGGTGGAGATACTGAATGGCAGTGCTGCTTACTCTGCAGCACTGCCCAATGAAGCAGCTTTAGCAGCCATTTGAGGAGTGGCCAGTGGAGGTGTCCCTAAGCTGTAATGCACTGCATTTTTTCTGAAAAGACAGTGTTTATAGCAAAAAGCCTGAAGGGAATTATACTCAACAGAACAAATGCAATAAGCTGTAGTTTTTCTGGTGACAATAGTGTCCCTTAAATGCTGACCATGATAAAATGGTGCCAGAACACAGAGTGCATTGCAGTTTGCTGTGTAGCCACAAACCAGTCAGAGTGCCCATGATGAACAGGGCCGTCTTTAATTTTGATTGGACCCTGGGCAAGCATTTACTTGGGTCCCCTGACTATATATAGATACACTACCTGACACACATGCAGATACACACTGACCGCATGTAGATACACACAAGAACATACAGATACACAGACTACATATAGATACACTGACACACACATAGACATACACACAGATATAAACACTGACATACATGCAGATACAAAGGTACACCCATTGACTACATATAGATACACACACACACACTGACACACATCCAGACACACACATACACAACCTAAAATACATGCAGATATACAGATACAAACACTGACACATACAGATACACACACACAAACGGAAAACATTCAGATACAGAGACACATTCTGACAGACGCACTGACACAGACAGTCATACTGAAAAACCCATACACAAAGACGCTGACATACAGATACACTGACAGACATACTGGCACATATACACACAGACGGACATACTGAAACACACATACACACAGACATTGACAGACATATTGACAAACAGACATACAGAACCACATGGACACTGACAGACATACAGACATTCTGGCACACACACACAGACATACTGAAACACACAGACACTGACAGACATACACACGTACAGACATTTTGACACGCACAGACAGGCATACTGAAACACATACACAAATACATACTGAACCACACAGACACTGACAGATTTTTTGGCACACTGACAGACATACAGACATACTGAAACACATACACACAGACACTGACAGACAAACACACATACAGACATTTTGACACACAGACAGCCATACTGAAACACACATACTGAACCACACAGACATTGACAGACACACACAGACATACTGACAGACATACACACATATACAGACATACTGAAACACACAGACACTGACAGACACACACACAGACATACAGATACACTGACAGACATACTGGCACACTAACAGACATACACACATACTGACACACTCATGCAAAATTTGATAACCACCCTCCAGTTTACCTTTTTCTGGAGGGTGGCTTCCCTGGGGTTCAGTGGGCTGGCTGGGGTGACTGGGAGTTAAGCTCTCCCGGCCTGGCCCCCTCCGGAACAGCTGGTCCTCCTTCCTCCCGCACGGCTCCTGTTTCTGTGGGAGGAAGTGACGCACGGCTGTCACTTCCTCCCAGTGCTGCCGAAAAGCAAGGGCCTGGTCGCGCTGTTAAAGCGCCACAGCGCCCGACCGGGCCCCTGCTGACACAGGCCCACTCGGTGGCCCTAAGTGCATGGGCCACCCAATGGGCCCCCATAGTTTGCGGGCAGAGGGCAAACAGGGCAGTTACCTCGGGCCCCCCAGCAGGGACAGGGCCCGGGGCAGCTGCCCTGTTTGCCCCGCGTTAAAGACGGCCCTGATGATGACCCCTGTCCATAAACAAAAACTCCTTCAATGGGGACTTCAGCTTTAGCACTGAACCATGGAGCAACGGAAGAAGGTTGCCTGCTCGGATGAAACAGGTTTTCTTTTAGATCAGGTGGAAGGCCAGGTGCGTGTGCATAGTTTACAGAATTAAACAAGGAAGTAACAGAACCAGTTGTCTGATTGACAGCTAAAGGGATACAAGATTAATTTATAAAAGTGCCAATTTCTACTGAACTGTGCACTTTAAAATGGGAAGAGGGAGGAAGACACTATTCACATATAATTGAAAAAGGAAGAACACAGGCAGCACTCCAGGATTATGAAGGCAAGTTTTATTTGTGGGTTCACCACCTCACCAAGAAATAAGTGCAACGTTTCGGCTCCACAGAGCCTTAATCATGCAACTATTCACACATTAATCACTTCAGCAAGCTAAAATTCTTTAGGGGTCTGGAGTGTTTACTTTACAATACAGCAGTACAACATATTTCTGAAAGTCTGTTATCTGTAAGAAGTCAGATTGCAGATATATTATAGCTTTCCTGTTACCTGGAGGTAGTTATTGTTCAGAAAGACTTACTTGGGGACTTGTTCAATATACCGTTGATAACCAAGCGTGTTCTTGCCATAGTCTATCTGCTTTTGCCGTCTCTGTAAAATAGCTTCATCTGTTTCAAGGTGGGCAGAACCATGCAACTTGGGGGAACTGTTGACAATACATATGAGAGGTGGACACAAATATAAGATGTCAATTTGTAGTTTGCTTCTGACGGGGTAGACCTTTTATCACACAAAGTTTATCTGCATATACACGTAAAAAAATGACACTGTGCACCAAAACAACTTTAGCTTAATGAAGCAGTTTATGTATATAGATCATGTCCCTTCAGTTTCATTGCTCAATTCTCTGCAATTTAGGAGTCAAAGCACTTGTAGCTAGGGCTGCATAAACAAACACATCTACCCTGGCAGTTATGCAACCTTACTTTAGACACATCTCATGCTCTGTTAAGAGAAATTTAATCACACATGGGAGGCAGCTGCACTCTCAGGGTAATAAAAATTCTAAATTAAACACACTGTGCTTTCAGCAAGTGTGTACAGAGACAGAGTCTCATGCAGTGGAGGTGTGGCTAGGGCTGCATAAACAAAGTGATTTAACTCCTAAATGTCAGAACTAAGCAGTGAGACTGCAGGGGTATGATCTATACACCACACCACTGATTTAAGCTAAAATTGTTTTGATGCTTAGAGCGTCCCTTTAAACCTTTATACAAATTGTACATACAGATGTGGGGAGGGGTGTCTGCAACTGTTCTTGGCATGCTTGGACCTATATGGGGGCATCGAGTGATGAGATACTAGTTCATAGCATCTATTTTTACCTGTGCATCTAATTTTTTGATAAAGAGATATCCAATGTTTGACAAGTACTCGGATTCCACTGCATTATAGTGCAAGATTTAGAATAACATTTCAAGATTACTGCTATTGTATGCAAAAATGTAGATGGTACTATTTATCACCATAGTTCTTCCTGCTCAAGTATAGCAAACCTGATTCTTGACTGATCCAGTTCCAAGAGGTCCAACTCTGTATCAACACCAACACTAACTACATCCACTCTATGGTTTTGCACTTTACAGGAGGATTCATAAACTGTGGACCTGTAATTCACAAAACAAACACTGTTAAATACCAATAGGTGTATATCCAGCCAAAATATTAGACAACATAAATAAGATCCCCCTTTAAACAATAATGGTTATTGTCTGTGGGTGGCTTCCTCGTATTGTACTTACCTTGTTTGTGGTATACTTTGATTTTGGTAGCAATCTATCTCTGACACTAACCCTGGAGCACCAAGAAAACGTGATCTGGAAGACACACTGTACAACAGATTTGTTGTATGAAAAGGAAAGTCGGGCACTAAGCAGCATAGTTTTAATTATTGTTTATGTTAAATGTTAAAGATGTTAAATAAACACAGTGTGACTGAACAGAAAACCATTGATTGGAACCTTTTATACAAGGCAATAGACATGTGATATGACACTGTGCCATGGAAACAGTTCTTGTATGTCAACCGCTTTGTACCACTGTTTGGGCTTCTGCGTAAGCCCATGTATACAAAGACCATTGTCAATACAAAAAAAGAAAAAAGGAAAGTCAGGCTATATCAATAGCATAACTGCAAGCCTTTAGCAAGTCTGACTAAGGTGGCTAGTCTCATCATTGGGACTACAGCCGTTTGAGGCAATACACTTTAATAGTTCAGTGACAATCAAGGCAGATCATCCCTCAAATATACCTCTAACAAATAAAGAGAACGTTACCTGCACTCTGGCCTAAATCCCCATGTACATTTAAACAAAATGGAGGCTATTCAGTTTTTTTTTACGGCATGGCAGTATTCAGTGGCTCACGCAGGGGCCAATAGTGACAGACATACAATGCATTATACAGAAAAGAAGCGGTTTGATAAGGTTATGCCAGGTTCTTTTATGCCGTGCAGTGTCGCCGTTTCTGTTGTGATGGGCTTTTCATGCCCATAGATAAAAATAAAATAAGGTAACAAAACTAAACCATACTAGACATATAGTAACTAACTAAATATAGCTATAGCTACCGAAGGTAAGAGCTTCCGATATATTTCCCTACTATGAACTTCCATCCCACTGGCAAGCCCTAGATGTCTGTTAGAAAATGGAGGCTATTCAGTTTTATATGAATTTTGTATCACACAGCTATGTTACATTGCTGCTAGTGATGTTGCGAACCGTTCGCGAACTTCCCGCGAACCGTTCGTGGCAAGCTCCGGTCAGCTGACACATCCCGGCCAATCTCCAGCAGACCCTCCCTCCCAGACCCTCCCACGTCCTGGACAGCATCCAGCTTCAACATGGATGCTGTCCAGGAGGTGGGAGGGTCTGGGAGGGAGGGTCTGCTGGAGATTGGCCAGGATGTGTCAGCTGACCGGAGCTCGCCGCGAATGGTTCGTGGCAAACCATGGCGAGCCGTTCGCAGAAAGTTCGCGAACGGTTTGCGATATCACTAATTGCTGCCAGCCTCCCCACGTTTGTCTTATTAGGAGTTTATAAGTATGTAGGGGCAGCACCCCTTCCTGTCTCAGAGAAATTTGCCTTTTAGCGGATACCAGCAAGATGATTTGTATGTGTTCTATCCCTATTCAGGGTTAAGTATGTAGGGGTTTATAAAATACCCCTTCATGTCTCATTAGAGATGTTTACACTTTGTCTGATACCAGCAAAGTTTATTGTATGTGTATAAGCCCTATAAAGGGTTAAATGTGAAAGTGTTTATAAAATACCCCTTCCTGTCTCACTGGAGATTTTTGGCTGATATCAGCATATCTAATGGCTAGAGTAGGACTCACCTATTGAGGCTTGCCTTGACGTGGCAGGTGAGTTTATATATTCAAATGGCCATTGGAATAAAACTAAAGAGCCTCCATTTTGTTTAAATGTACATGGGGATTTAGTCCAGAGCGCAGGTAATGTTTTCTTTGTTTTTACTATGTATTTTAAGCAGTTGGATGCCAATGCTGCTGTAAGCGCAGTGCTTTATCTTTGTGTTTATACCTCTAACAAATGTTTAACATATAAAAAAATAAATTAAAAAATAAAAGGAAATCAATTTACAAATAAAGCACTAAACATTTTAGCCTCTCTTTTTTGTTTAAGATACTAAGAGCCATGCTTAGAGGAAAAACCCACACACTACCAGGCAGCCAGCATATCAGATATGTATCAGAGGTGTGGTTACCCAAAGAGGTCCTCCAAGGCAGTACTGCTGTTTATCAGCATCCAAGGTTCTGGGAGTAGAGTAGGTGGCAGCCCATACAGCTGTGTTTGAGGGTTGGACATGGGTGGCATCCGTACATCTAGCTGAGGGGGTAGTCTGAGAAAAACAGATTAGCGTTAACATCAAGATTTGCTGCTGTACACAAAGACACTTTTGTACCGTAACAGCTAGATTAAAGGGAAGTTGTAATCCATCCCATTTTACTCTAGAACACAAATGGTATTACATGTTAAGAACACCAAGTACAACCATGGTTTATACCATTCCCCATCGTTCAGCATGAAAGTGATGTCAGCACCAGGACACTCGAGGCAACATAACCACTATAGCAATAAGCATGGTTATGTTTTGAGTGTCCCTTTAAGGAGGAGAAAGATCCTGGGAGCCATGCTGACCCAGGCAGAAGGTTCGTCTGACATACATACATACACATACCTGCAAAAAATGCAAAACAAATTGCCTTTGACGGCATGTACCGCATAGCCAAATCATCACAGGCGCCAACTAAGGCCCCCCGGGACATTATCCTATGCTGCCAAACCCTTGCCGATAAACGTAGGCTCAACGCCGTGAAGGGGAAGACTCCATTACACTTTGAATCGCAAACAGTTACATTCTTTCAAGACTTAAGCAGAGCCACCTTATTGTGGCGAAAATCAATGCAGCCAATCACGAAAACCCTACAAAGCACTGGCCTCCCTTACAGGTGGTCTTTCCCCAGAGCTCTTACAGTCAACCAAAATGGAAAGACTTTCAAAGCCCTGGGACCCTCGGAGGGAACAGCTTTCCTTTAGGCACTTAGCCTACAGGATCAGACCGATGCAGCAGGCACAAGCCACACCTGGGACGTATCCAAAGTGAACCCTTTCGTGCCTCGGGGAACCAATGACTGACCTGAAAGTCAAAAAAAAAATAAAAAATTCTCCCAATCTGCATGGTTTCTCATTTTATCTATAAAAAGATTTCTCTGAACACGATATTACAAGCTTCTGGGAGTCAAAGTTCAGTTAACAGCTTTCTACAGCAGACGTTGTGCAGATTAATGATAGCTACCCTTACTATGCATTGAAACCACTGCTTATGAAGTAAGTTCAGAGGGGTCAAAGGACGTTAAAGGAACACTGATCACCATTGCCTCTATGGAGCAATGGTGTGATTATGGTGGCAGGAGTCCCACAACAGCAAGCCATTTCTAAATAGTTTGTCATTTAATTGGCTTTGATGGGCAAATGCAGCCCTTCTGGTCTGCCTTATGTTAAAGTGAGTTAAACAGACACTATAGTCACCAAAACAACTTTAGCTTCATGAAGCAATATTGGTGTATAGAGCATGCCCCTGCAGTCTCACTGCTCAATTCTCTGCCATTTAGGCGTTAAATAACTTGTTTCTGTTTATGCAGCCCTAGTCACACCTTCCCCGGCTCTGACTCATACAACCTGCATGAAAAAAGGGTTTATTTTCCATCAGACATAATTTACTTTAAAAGTTTATCTCCTGCTCTGTAAATTGAACTTTAATTACACAAAGGAGGTTCCTGTTGGGTCTATCAAGCTATTAACTGAGCAGGATATAAAAATTCTAAATAAAACAGAATTTGGAATAAAGGAAGTGTAAACATTAGACGACTCTTTACAGGAAGCGTTTAGGAAGGCTGTGTAAATCACATGCAGGAAGGCGTGACTAGGGCTGCATAAACAGTGATTGAACGCCTAAATGGCAGAGAACCGAGCAGTGAGACACTGCAGGGGCATGATCTATACACCAAAGCCGTTTCATTAAGCTAAAATTGTTTGGGTGACTCGTGTCCCTTTAATTTTTTGTCCTTAGTGTACAAAGCTGGGACATTGGCTGACACTCAGTCAATGAATATGCAAAATAGGAATGCATTTTTATGTTAATGTGGAAATATGAAATTGCGCTTTAGCATAACAAGACCATAAGTAATGAAGTGCCACCAAGTCAGGTGAATATCTTCTTACCCTGAGATAGCACCAGGGGAATACTGGCATCATAACTATAGTGCCCTGTAGTTATGGTGCTTAGAGGATCTGTTCAGAGTAGATGCACATGCATGATGTGTCATTGCTTCTCTATGAGTAGCATCTGATTTGGCACAATTCCTCAATAATGGTGACTTGGAGTTGCAGCAAGTAGACTTAGTAATTGATGCTTAACCCTTAATGAGTTATGGTCCAGGTCACAGCAACATGCTTTTTAAAATATATTATTCCAAAATGGAATGACCCACTAACTAATGAAATTAGGTCAGTTGTATCTGCCATGTTACAAAGCGAACAGCCGATGCTTCAGCCAATAAGCTTCGTTCATGAGCACAAACAGAAGATCCGGATTAGAATCTTCCAGCCCTCTGGCATTAGTTGTGGACCTCTTATAAGAAAAAACAAAACCCAAACCCAGTTTGACCACTTAGAACAGGATTAGTTCCAGGGCACTCCTAGCACCTTAAACACTACATTGAGTGTTAGTGGTTATGGTGTTCTTTAAATAATTTATATGAAGCAAACTGATGCAAGAGTACATAAACATAAAAATGGTCATTCGGTTTACTGCAACAACACTATTCTAAAAACATGATAGCAGAGAAAGTGCTGAAATTTAAAATGTATTTTGATTGACTGCATGCAGTCTCCTCCCACTGAGAATACAGCTAAAATTAAAAGGACACCATAGGCACTTCATTTAGTTGAAGTAGTTATAGCAGCGGGAGACCTCTTATTGCCTCCATTCAGCGTTGAGACATTTTTATGATCACGTTAAATAGGATTCCCACATCCCCTTATGGAAGTATGGCAAAGGCAGAGCTTGCACACTTCCTTCTAGCCATACCGATTAATACCAACAATGGGCCCAGTGAAAGACTGCAAGTTGTCAGCTGACACAGTCAATCACAGCAACTGAAGCCAATACTTTGATCAACCCAAGCAGTACCACCATGGAGTGAATGGGCTGCTAGGAACGCGTTAGCATTAAAACTTAAAAAAAATGGTTTAAACCCAGAATGGAAGGCCGCACCAGGGGACACTATACACACACACTATAACTACTTCAGTGAGCGAAATAGGTTACAGTGCCCACAGTATCCCTTTGAACACCCAAGTAAAAAAAACAAAAACTGAAAATGCAAATAGACAACAGTTCCTACACAACTAGATGTGTTTTTGGAAAGCGGGGAGGGGGCAGACAAAAACCCCAAAACCAAGATAAACACCATTTGGTTTTTTTCAAGCCACTTTTGTCTATTGTTAGGAGTTTATGATTAACCATTACTGGTCAACGATAGAGAGACATGGCATGAGTCTAAAACAAGAGATTGGTTTATTATTGGACACCTTGCCCATTTTAAACACAGCCAAGGGCAACAATTCAAATAGAAGAAAACACTATTTAGCAAAAATGTAATAACTAGTTTTCTAAACTCTTATTAAACTGAAAGTAATCCTTTTCCCTTCATGTAATGAAACAGTCAGCGCTGCCCTTTAACTCAGAGACAAGCAGCAGTAATCTGCTGGACCCATACTTTGTACAAAGTACAAGGCTTTATTGCTAGAAAGCAAGAGGCAAGTTTCCCACTAAGAAACCACACATAGTAAACTGAATCACCAAAACAAATACACAAATATAAAAAGCAATTCAAATATCAATGATAATAATAAATGCCCCCAAAACAATAAATCAAAGATCAATAAAATAAAAATAATAAAACTCTATAAGGCATTCCCAATAACACGGTGCTTGTTCCACACATGCCAGCTGGCTCTAAACACACACTCCATCCTATTACCGCTGCATGGCAGTACTGACAGCTGAGCAGGGGAACCCTGCATCCTTGCCCTTTAAATAACCTGCTGACGTCGGCTGGTGGGTGTGGCCTACACGCGAAGAAAACCTGGAAAGCAGCCACTTGTGTGTGGGCGTGGCCAGAGAGGAAACCCTGCTTATGACCGCAGCCTATCAGCAGTCAAAGCTCGGTGAAACGCACACAGCCAATCAGCGAGGCTGCTATTTTAAAAAAATGCCGCCCAGCGCGGCCTATCGCGTGCCTTTGCCTTGTCGGCTGCTATTTGGTTGGCAGAATCCCGCATGCTGACCCCGGATGCAGTTTTGTGATTGGTCAGTCTTCAAGGGCGGAAGATTTCAATATTTTTTTATTTTTTGAGACCCTGTGCGTCTTTCTTCCTCCGCTTGTTGTATTTGGACTCGATGTTGGGAGAGGACGGGGATATAGATCCGGCTTGGAGTGATTATACACTGGGATGTACTGATATTAAAGATAAGCTTGGTGCTTCGCCCCCCTCCCCCCCCAGCCTTGGGGTGAACTGAGCGCCCACATGTGAGACCTGGGTACACCTGTGAGTATTAACATCAAACCACTTGTGTTTAATGGTAAATAAAGGCTTTCCAATGCTTCTATCAATAAGATAACCAGATATTCTCTGTGGGGAGGTAAATTAAAGGGACAGTATCTCACAGTCCATTATGCGTTACTTGGAAGGGGAGATAAAAGGGACAGTGACCTTTTTATTTAACAACTTTAGCTTAATGAAGCAGTTTTGGTGTGTAGATCATGCCCCTGCAGTCTCCCTGCTCAGTTAAACTAGATCATTTTATTTCTGTCCATGTAGCCCTAGCCACACCTCCCCTGGCTGTGACTGACACAGCCTGCATGAAAACTAAAAGGCTCCTGCAGGTTCTAAATAAGCTTATTAATAGAGCAGGAGATAAATAAATAAAATCTAGGTCAGACAGACTGCAATAAATGAAGTGTAAACATTAGATGTCTCTTTACAGGAAGTGTTTAGGAAGGTGGTGCAAGTCACATGCAGGGAGGTGTGACTAGGGCGGCATAAACAAAGTGATTTAACTCCTAAATGGCAAAGAATTGAGCAGTGAGATCTATACACCAAAACTACTTGTTTAAGCTCAAGTTGTTTTGGTGACTATTGTTTCCCTATAAGTGTAGTGTCCCTACAACCCTTAAAGTTGTCTTGGTGGATCTAGTGTCCATTTAATGCATGATATAGCTAATAACTACTAGAAATAAACTGTCACTTTTTTTTTTTTTTTTAATTTTACCTTGGCATGTCCCAACACCTTCTTTCTTAATTGGCTCCTTTTTCTACCCCTGAAATGATGCCTTCCCAACTACAATTCCTTATGTATAACAAAGGGTGGAGCTTTAGTTGGCTCCATGGCCTTTGTCATAGACATAAGGTCTGTATACTCGCCTTCCTTCAGTGCCGTGTTACGGATCGTTTCACGCAATTGCTAGAGTTAAAGGACCACTATAGGCACCCAGACCACTTCAGCTCAATGAAGTGGTCTGGGTGCCAGGTCCATCTAGGGTTAACCCTGCAGCTGTAAACATGGCAGTTTCAGAGAAACTGCTATGTTTACACTAGGGTCAATCCAGCCTCTAGTGGCTGTCTCATTGACAGCCGCTAGAGGTGCTTCCGCGCTTCTCACTGTGATTTTCAGAAATGCTTTCCTATGGACTGTTTGAATGCGCGTGCGGCTCTTGCCGCGCATGCACATTCGGCGGATGGCGTCGGAAGAGGGAGGAGGGTCCCCGGCTCTGGAGAAAGGTAAGCGTTTAAGCCCTTCCTCCCCCTTCATCCCAGCGGGAGTGGGACCCTGAGGGTGGGGGGGACATAAATCAGGTGGAGCTGCATCTGTGAGTTGGGCGTGATTTCACTCACATGCCCATCTATATATACTCAGAAACCTGAAGATGGCAGCGTCCTGAAATAAGATTTGAAAGTAACAGTAATGGCGGGATAAAGTTAAAGAAAGCTCTGGGGAACAAAAAATTATTTGGGGGGGGTTGAGGGTTAAAGGATTAACAGATCCCTTGGCAAAAAGCTGAGGGATCCAAATCGTTCAAGATCCATTACAGCCAGATCATTGGCTGGGAGTATCAGCTCATTGGTACTCTCAGCCAATGAGCTAAGCTCTGCACTGAAGTTCTCAATTGCTCTAAAATGGTTTTACTACATACATGGAGGGTTGGACATAACTCCTGTGCTGTAGTGCAGGGCTTGACAAATTTGCTTTGGAACTAGGAGCCAGCTAAAAAAGGTTGGATCCAGGTTTTTTTAAACTTACAAAGCTTTATTTTCAAAGAGACCCTATAGTCACCAGGACCACTACAGTTTAATGTGTGGTTCTGATGTCTATAACCTGTCCCTGCAGGCTTTTCAATGTAAACACTGACTTTTCAGAGAAAAGGCAGTGTTTATATTGACGCCTAGTGATACCTCTAGTAGCAGCAATGCTATGAGGAGTTGCTGGTTGGCGCAGTGTTTTGCAGCGCATGCGCAATAGCTTCTCGGTGCTTTCATATGGGAAAGCATTGGATTGGCAAAGATCATCAAGCGTGATTCTTAGCCATAGAGGCTTGGCTAGCCGTGGGGAGGCTAGGATGGCGTGGAAAAAAAGTTGAGTATAAACACTACTCCCCCGTGATCGGAGAGGGAGCTGGTCACCTAAATATAAACACATACATTGAGACGGATTCAAACACACTGATAGACGCACAAACACACACATTGAGACAGACGCACAAACACATTATTTGTTTTAATTCTATTCCACCCAGACTCCCTAACTTTGGGAGAGCTGGCATGGACCGGTTTTCCCTGGGGTCAAGTGGGTAGTTGGTTAGGGGACAGTGAAGGTGGGCTACTGGCTTCGCGTTGTGTAGGTTGACGTCATATTCCGGCATCACTAAGCAGTGACAAGGGAGCAGAGCAGGGAGATTACAGCTCCCTCGCCATCAGCCTACAGAACACACAGCCCTCAGGCGCCAGGACTAAATTGCTGGTCGCCAGGGTGACCTGGCACTTGGGATCTGTCAATTTCTGCTGTAGTGGTTATGGTGCTTGGAGATATTCTTTAACCCCTTCCCGACCTAGGACGCGCAGGGTACGTCCGACAAAAAAAGGCAGTTAATGACCTCTGATGTACACTGCACGTCCGCTGTTAAAATGACCTGGGTACTCACCTGAACCGGCGATCCAGGTCCAGGGGGACTGCCCGAGATCCCAGCAGTCTCCCTGCTGCAGCTCTGGCTCTCCAGGGCAAATCTTAGCTAGGCATGGTGGCTGTCACTAAACAGGAACATTGCATGTTAGGGTATATTTGAGTATGTGGCCATGTATCCTGAGCATATAACTGTACTGCTCTGATCTAAGGTGGAAGAGAATTCACAGATCCTCTCTCTGGTAACTAAGAAATCAATCAAGCTAGGGATAAGGATATAACATGGAGCAACAAAAGTAGCAGGCATCAGGGGAGCTCGTGAATTTGACAAGTTACTCCATGGAAGACTGCATGCTTCACCCAATTACCAGACTTTGTAATTAGGTGCTCAGGGCATATGGGTAAGTGCTGCACTCTGCTAAGCTAGCCCTGGTTAGAGAGTGCAGTGTCAGCCGATACCAAGGCATGGAAATACTTGGAGGTGGCCCGGAGGCAGTCCCAGGCATGGGCTAAGAGTGGCCTTTCTCTTGCCCCTGGCCTTGTTGAGGGTCTCACAGTCGAGTCTCACAGTCGGTAATGGAAGCTCTGAGTCGTCGGTCGCCGCTTGCTGTGTACGTGCTTCCGCCACTGTGGTAGGTGCAGTGGGGGAAAGGCCCAGGTGGGCCTAACGTGTGAGGCTTAGATGCTTGGTGGGTGGTTGCGCCAGATGGGGGCATACACCGTCCATCTCCTGCCTGCCTCTGTCTCCCAGTTGCTGCTGCAAGTGGGTCGGTTTGGTGTTGTTTGAGCCCGGGAAATGTACCGCCGGTACAGTGACCTCTCACGTGTAAGATCAGTGGAAGCTGCGGTCTGAGTGCAGATTGCTAGGTAAGGTACCCTGATTTTGGTCGCTAGACGGGGGAGCATTGGCTGAGCACGTCTGGGCTGCCGGGCTACGCCCCCCACTTTAGCCAGTGTTTGTGACTACTAGAAAAAACTGGACATACCCTATTTGCAATACCTTGGGTTGTCTACTTTTGCAAAAGGTATGGCATCATGGGGGTAATTCTTATTCCTGGGCTACCATATGGTCTCAAAGGCAATATAACCAATTTGGCAAATTTCAGTGAAAAAAATGAAATGGGCAAGCCTTATATTTGACCCTGTAGCTTTCAAAAACACTGTAAAACTAGTACATGGGGGTATTGTTATAATCGGGAGACATCACTGAACACAAATATGAGTGTTTCAAAACCGTAAAACGTTTCCCAACAATGAGATTGTCCGTGAAAGTGCTTATTGTGTGTGAAAAATGCTAAAAACGTCACTTTCACGGACTATCATTGCTGTGATAAATTTTATGGTTCTGAAACACTAATATTTGTATTCAGCGGAGTCTACATAGTAAAACCGTACTCCCTGTGTACAGGTTTTAGGGTGTTTTGGAAATAGACAGGGTCAATATAGGGCTTGATCATTTGTTTGCTGGGTCTTTTGCCTTTTGAGACCATATGGTAGCCAAGGAATGTGAATTAACCCCATCATGCATTACAATTTGCAAATGTAGCCAACCCCAGGGTATGTCCAGTTTTTTCTAGTAGCCACTTAGTCACAAACACTGGCCAAAGTTAGCGTTCATATTAGTTTTTTGCATTTTTCACACACAAATATAAATGCTAACTTTGGCCAGTGTTTGTGGCTAAGTAACTACTACAAAAGACTGGACATACCTCATTTTGAATACCCTGGGCTGTCTACTTTTTCAAATTGTATGTCATGGTGGGTTTATTTTCATTTCTGGGCTGCCATACTGTCTCAAAGGCAACAATCTGGCAAATAACAATTTGCAAAAAACAAAATTCGCAAATCTTATGTTTGACCCTTTAAATTTCCAAATCACCATAAAACCTGTTCTTGAGAGGTATTGTTGTACTCGTGAGACATTACTCTTCACAAATACGAGTGTTTTAGAGCAGTAAAATATAATCTACTGATATCATCAATGAAATGGCAGTTTGTGTAACAAATAGAACCACCAATTTTGGCCAGGGTTTGTAACGAAGTGGCTACTAAAAAAGAGTGGACATACCCCATTTTGAATACCGTGGGTTGTCTACTTAAAAAAAAAATTAAATATGGTTGGATGGGGGTAAATGACATTGGCCAGCTTCAAAAATGTCTCAAAAGAGAACATGGATGCATGATGACCAGCTGTGAAAATTCCATGTTTGAAAACTGGAATGCGCACCCTCCAAGTAAGGTCTATTAGCCCCCAGAGAACCCGACACACCTGTACATGGGTGGTATCACTGTACTCAGGAGATGATGCTGAACACACATTGGGGTGTTCTTTGACAGTAACCCTGAAAGTTCTCAGTACATGTATTCTTCAATTGCTATGTGTGTCAAAAATATCAACCCTTATTTTTTTTAATTTGGCATAGATTGGTGGTAAAATGGTTGCATGAAAAGAGTCCAAATACCCCAGTAAATGTAAAGTAGTTTAATACCTTCGGTTGTCTTCTTTTTAAAGGAAATATATACATGTGAAGTGTTATTCAGGTATTCCTGACAGATATCAGTGTTACAATGTAACAGCGTAGCGTAGCTTTAATTTTGGGGGAAAAAATGGTTTGGAAATAGCAAAGTAATACTTGTACTTTGTGCTACTTAGTGCTTTGTGAAAAATAGCAAAGTGCTACATTGCCCTATAACTTGCAAAGAACATGTTAACATTGGGTATTTCTAAACTCAGGACAAAATTTAGAAACTATTTAGCACCAGTGTTTTTTGGTGATTGTGGATGCGTAACAGATTTTCGGGGTCAAAGTTAGAAAGTGTTGTTTTTGTTTTTTTAATATTTTTCATCATATTTTATAATTTTCTTTATCATAAATTATATGATATGATGAAAATAATGGTATCTTTAGAAAGACCATTTAATGGTGAGAAAAACAATGTGTGGGCACAGTAAATGAGTAAGAGGAAAATTACAGCTAAACACAAACACCACAGAAATGTAAATACAGCCCTGGTCACAAACGGTAAGAAAATTGAAAAGTGGTCTGGTCACTGAAGGGTTAAAGGGACACTTAAGGCACCAAAACAACTTTTTAAAGAGGTTAAACCGTTCTTTAAAGGGTTTTTTAAGGCGCCTCCCACGGGGCTGGAGGGGTTAAAACCCTTTCAGCCACTTACCTGAATGCAGAGCGTGAGGACGTCCAGTGTCAGATAACGGAACAAAGGTCCGTTTGGATTCCGGAAGCGCCACCACTGGCTGTCTGGTTGACTGCCACTGAGGGCAGACGAAGAGCTGTAATGTAAACATTTTCAGTTCACTGGAACTGCAGTGTTTTACATTGCAGCACTAAATGCAATAGAGACACAGCACCCAGACCACTTTAACCCCTTAAGGACCAAACCTCTGGAATAAAAGGGAATCATGGCATGTCATGTGTCCTTAAGGGGTTACTGAGCTAAAGTGGTCTGGGTGCCTAGAGTGTCCCTTTAATGATTTAACCCCAAAGTTGCCTCCAGTGGCGATGTCCACTCCCACCAGGTGGCATCCGGCTTCCGAATCTTCAGATTCCGGAATCTTGGGGTACTGCTGGGCATAGTCGTTGCAGATTGGTTAGAAACATAACTTTTCCAAGCCTGTTTTGTGAATGGGGAGTCACTAGTTGTCTGAGAGTGTCAGTTGTCTGCTCTCAGCCAACCAGTGGTGGCATTTCGCGCTTCCTGAATCAGAAAATTCAGAAGCCAGATGCCATCTGGGGGGAGGGGACATTGCCGCTAGAGCAGCAGTTCCCAAACTGTGTGCCAGGGCACTGTGACATGCACACAGGGGTGCCGCGGAATATTTCCCCAGTGTTGATTATAGCACCGGGGAAACATGACTGCTTTACAGGGAACCGGTCAAGTGCCGTGGTCCTTTAAGACCGCGACCGGGCCCCTGTAATGTCGGCGGCTGGGAGGAAGTGACAGCCTGTCACTTCCTCCCAGCATCCTGCAGGGAGGCAGCCGCAGCATGAGGGGAGAGGAGCAAGAAGAGCTCCAGACCCCTCACTCCCACAGCAGCAGGACTCCAAGCCACCCTCCTGGCACATAAGGTAAACTGACAGGAGGATGGCTGGAGATATATATAATTTTTTTTTTTTTTTTTTTTTTTAAATCTCGTGTGTATATGCATACATCAGCACAACATACAAGCACAATCCTGGAATCTAACACACCCCTGCATTCGCACAAAAACAAAATACAAACACACCCCTTCACTCAAACACAAATACTTGCATTTAAAAGTGAACATTACATTCAGACACACCCCTGTATTAAAACACAATAAATGTATACAAGTACTCCTTCAAACACTTATACTATAGCGCCAGTAAATGCGGCAGCGCTGTACAGATATACAACCTAGAAATTTTGACTTGGGGTGCCTTGGGAAAAATACTGTAATATTAAGGGTGCCTTGAACCTGAAAAGTTTGGGAACCACTGCGCTAGAGGCAAATTTGGGGTTAAACCGTTTGAGGCAAAGAGTGCCTCCAGGGCTTCCTGGCACTATAACAACTTAATTTAGATGAAGTTGTTTTGGTGCCTGCAGTGTCACTTTAACATCATTATCTCAATGACGTTATGGGGCCTGCAATTCCTGGGTTCCATCTTACCTTACAGCATGCAGCTGATGCTCTGTCAATCACTAGCTGCAAAGCCAATACTTCTCTATTGTCATAGAAACCAAGTAGAGACGTGAGAATGTAGTGTGATGGACAGATGACAGAAGTTTGGTGTTAAATCATTCAAAAACGGTTTAATGCTGTAAGGAAGCATAGCGCCAAGGTATTTCTGGCCACATAACCGCTTGAAGTTACACTCTGAAACCACTACAGCATTACACCAAGTCAGAATGTTTTGTGAATAAACCCCTTAATTACCTTAAAGTGCATCTGTCCCAGTCTGAGGTCTGTGCATATCTGGGAAAGACTGCAACAGTGAAATCTCTGCTGGGGATTCAGTGGCAGGAGTTTTACTAGCGTAAACCTGTCCCACACATGCGCCGCCATTCTCTTCCGTTTGCTCATCTTCACATTCTGGTGCTTCAACTGCCAGGAGCTGACATCCTCTATACAAAGCGCTTAATAATTCCATAGAGCCGTCAGAAATGCTGAATTTTGTCAGGCGGAAAAAAATACTGAAACAAAGTACTCCTAAATTTGTCTCCGTGTATCTTTTGACTGGGCTGGAATTTCAATTAAATTTCAACACAGTCAAGCTGTGTATTTTGTAATACAAATTTTGGAGATGGGGTGGGTGACAGTGCTGCTTTAAAATATATTCGGAGCATCTCTGTTGAATAGTAATTGTATCTTTGCCTTTTGTAGTATTTTTACTACTGGCACTTTAAGAAGAACCCATTTGCCATCTAAAGAATGGTTAATCTTTCTTTGCTTAGGGTCATTCCTGATCTTTTGGGTGTGCTGATTAGCATTATACTATGCAGTTGAAGGTGTGCCTTGACACACACAATACATTGATCAGTCAAATTTACAGAGCTATTTACTAAAACAGCTAAAGAATTTATAGCTGCTTAAGATAACATCACACAGTAATAGCATTCTTTTAAAGCGTTTAGTGTGTGCCATTTGTCAGTGTGCATTGCAATAGTAGGGGTTCACCCATTCTTATTCATAAAATATAAGCATGTTTTACTTGTTTGCTGAACTTTTACACTAGTCAGACTGGTGTTCATTTCTCACGGACTACGTAAATATATTTTAACTATCTGCTAATTTAATCCCGCAACCTTGCTGTCTGCTGGTTTATGAACTGAACAATTTGTTCAGTATATTGTAAGATCTAAGCATTCACTTGCTGGCAGATTTCCCCAATCATCTGACCATGCATCCCCATGGGTGTAAAAAT